CCTACACATGTTAGAAGTGGAAGTTTTGCTTCCAATTATTCACACAACTGTAGTTTTACAATAAAATCGCATCGTTTTGGGTAAACGTGTAGTAAATCAACCCAAATGTTTAATCTACCATAAATGTGAAATTACAATAAGTAGAATGTAATTTTACAGAATATTTTTGCACACACTTAACAATGTTATTGTCAATTCATTTCAGTTTCAATTGTGTACAACGTGTATTGGGTATTGCAACAAGTATGTAACTTAATTACTGTAATTTTACAGTAGTCATTGTAATATATTGAATCAGTATAACTGTATATCAACTGAATGTGATGTTTTCTATCACGAACATTTTCACTTTCGGTTTTCTCCTCGAATCCACATCCGAGGGCTTAATGGTCTACTCAGGAATGACAAATAACCAACGTAACGAGCTACAAAATTTTATTTTCAGATGTGCGTTAAAGGATAGCTACAAAGGGCAGGTATAAATTTCTATCGACCGTATTCCGATATTGTTCCCTTTACAATTTGTATTATCTCGATACCGAAATAAGAAAGCATTTTATTTCCAAGACGATTTAATAAAACATATTTATCTGAGGTTTCCTTTTTAAAAGAAATATCTGGGTTTTTGTTAATAGCCACGGATCTCCGCCGAACAAGCTCGGTCCAATAAAATCAGAGCAAGATAATATGAGTTAGATTACTCCGCTGATATTTGATATACATTTATTGTGTTACGTTGCAGGATTATGTTTGCGGGAGATGTGCAGCTTTTCCTTCCACACAATCGAGCAAAAGGTCAGGAAGATCGAAATTTAATAAATGTAATAAATACTTATATAGTTACTTTATTGTATCTCATAAAACAATCAGTTAAATTAATTTTATTGAACCAACTTACTTTGGCCTACATTTTATTACGAACTTACGTGTGAAGTTTCATTCTGCACACTGTAATTTAAATCTATGTAAATTCGAAATGTTGACCTAAGCCCCTTGTAGCTATTAATCATCATAATTGTACGGAACAAAAGAACTCATTTATGGAGGTACACGTTTATATACATTTTAATGAATTTAGGCCGAGCTACCCTTGCTAATGCGTTTCTGATTGTGGTTTCCGCAAAATGTTTAAAGAACGATAAATTATAAATAAATTATGGGACGTTCCGTGGGTTAGGGTTTTTTTATGGTGCCTCAGGGTTTATCTCAAGGGCCGTTATTACGAAATTTACGACATTAAACGTAAAACGATCCGCCTATTTGTGTCAATAATACATTTTAAGGGAGTAGCGTTTTTATCTTCGTTTTAAAAATGAGTTATTTAAAAAATTGAGCTAGCTTTAACGCGTCGTAAATTATACGGGGTGTAACTCCAAGTGGAGGATCAGTTTTTTAGGGGTAATACTACGTGTTCTCGTGAATACAAATCTGAAATTATTTTCTTTTAATCAAACAAATAGTCGTTTTTTACACCATTTCAATTCTTGGGGGCCACTCGAAGTTAATGTGGTAAGTTGTATCAGTGCACTATCGATGATGCCAGTTTATTTTTTTAAAATAACTGTAAGAGGGATACAATGGGAAATAATTTAGTAAAACAGTAATTTTTTGATATCAACATGCCGAACATTAAAAATTGTTTGTTTTTGAAAAAATAAAATTTTTTACATTTATTAAATATTAATTAATATTGGTAGACAAAATAATTTATGTTTTACGATAATTATTTTGACCGTTTTAAAAAATGTAATAAAGGAGAGTTAAAGCAGATAATATTAAAAAAATATATAATGCGGTACTTTTTTTTCTTATTTAGCCACTTTGGCAGCCAATTGGACCAGACACTTTAAATTCATCCAAAGTAAATAAAACAACAACAAAATTAAATCGTGGACAGTTTTAATTTAAGCAGAATCCGATCCTGTTCTGAACGCTTACGAAGGTGTCGTGCGTGCACCGAAAATGGTGGTGGTCATTTTGAGCATATGTTGTAGTTTGTTTTATACTTGTGCGTTTAAAAATTATAGTTTAAATTATTTTTAATGCGTGTGATTATTTGGATGACGTGAATCTTTGGGTACTTTAACTACATATTTTTCAAATTCATAATTTGATTAAAAGTCAAGTTCCTGTTTTGAGAGATTCATAATTACTAAAATTCGAGCTAAAATTTAAGCACAACACTATCTTCGTACTACAAAATCGACACATTTTATTTTATTTATTTAAAAACTGGAAAACAATTGTCTTGAAATAGTTGTTTACATTTTTTCCGTAGGACAAGTCTGCCGCGAGTAATACGTGTACACCAGCTGTGTAGCGTTAGGTTAAGCGCTGTTGTCACGTTGTGATGAAACTCCCAAATATTAATACTCGCTGTATTTTGAAACCTGTTAATCTTACGCCCCTGTAATATACAACTTTTTTGTTCATTTGTGATTAATCTACCTCATGCTGAAATAATAGCAGTCGAGCTTCTTACACCCTGTAGATAATAGAATATGTAGGGCTAAAATTAATTTTGTTCACGAAAACTAAAGAAATCGCTCTGTTGACTTTATTTCATTTCTGTATGCAACAGCGAGATCTTGCGCTGAGCTAAATACAAATAAATCCCAACTGAGCGTAAAATTATGCGCTTCACATACCCCAATGTGCAATCTCATTGAAATTTCCGACGAATCTAGTTTTGCATTAACCAAGGAGCTCTTAGAAGGCGTACAATCCTCGTATGACTAGAGGTATGGTTGTAATACTACGTGTTAGTCTTATAGGTAGCAGAATGAGATACAGCTGGAGTATTGGCAGCAATTTCGGTAATATATCAAAACTTTACCGAAACGGGGATCTTTGCAACAGGCTCCTAATTCAAAGATGTTTATTACGTCCAAGGTATTTGACAAATGTTCCTGTTTGTTACGAAATTGCTTTAATTCTCTACTGCAATCTTGGCGAAAACTTTCCTGTTTTTAATTACAAGCCAAATAAATGGATCACAAGGTACAAACAGAAAAATGGGTGGATTTCTTTGAAGAACTAATTAACGTAGGATTATGTAAAATTAGTCAAAGTTAAAACATAAAGTATACATATTTTTTCAGGGAAATTGCTTTTTTTCAATCACTTCGGGAAATAGTACAAACACCCTAAAATTGTGGAAAATGAAACGCCTTGTGCAGTACAGGATCCTGTAATTTTTGAATTCTGTTAGGAAAGCGTAAACACGTAAATACTTGTAATTCGTTTTGTTTCCCGTCGTAGAAAGGAAAAGTTAGCGGCCCCTTATCATATTTTGAGGATCCTCTTTCATTAAATCAGGCATCATTCCGGGAACGTCACAAAGCGGGCAGAAAATACCCCAAAAATATAAAAAATACGCGTGCACACGAAGCACATCGTATTTCTCAAACCTTCCGTGAACCAGCAATATCTCCGGGGCTACCACTAAATGTAAAATCGATTTACTCTTGGACCGAATAAAAGCCAGATCTAAATTCTGTTTCAGGGCATAAGATTTAGGAATATTTCACCTTACATTGTACATTGTAACGGTAAGGGCGTGATGTCACAATCGCGTTTGACCGACCACCGAATTTCGAGGAGGAAATGGAGTCATTTAGCATATATTTTTTTTATTCGTATCCAGAATATACATTACAGTTAGTTAATGTAAAAAAAAAACTAGAATTTTTTTCCAGCAATTTCTCCCTCAAAATGAGCGCGGGGAAACACACGGTGTGACGTCACACCATTCGTTAGCGGCTACTGGCTTGGACTATCTCAAATATTTTACGTCTTAAAATTTCTTTACCAGGGACAATATTAAAACTATCGACCTGATTTTTTCTCCATATTAAGGGGGTTAAGTGTTTATACAGGGTGTACGAAGTTTGACTGCCATTACTTCAGCATGAGATAGAGTACAGCGAGTATTAATATTGGGGAGTTTCATCACAACGTGACAACAGAGCTTAACCTGCTGATGCACACCACGTGTGCAGACTTGTCCTATGGAAAAAATGTAAACAACTATTATTGTGAAACATTTAGTAAATTTCAAGGCAATTGTTTTCCAGTTTTTAAATAAATAAAATAAAATGTATCGATTTTGTAGTACGAAGATGGTGTTGTGCTTAAATTTTAGCTCGAATTTTAGTAATTATAATTGTGAATTCGAAAAATATGTAATTAAAGTACCCAAAGATTCACGTCATCCAAATAATCATACGTATTAAAAATAATTTAAACTAGAATTTTTAAACGCACAAGTACAAAACAAACTAGAACATATGCTCAAAATGTCCACCACCATTTTCGATGCACGCACGACACCTTCGAATCTAATTTTCGCGCAATCGCTGGAAAACACCTCAAGAAAAGCAAATAATGGTACGCAAAAAACACTCAGACACGGTCCAATTCCAGATACCAACTGAATTGCGTATTGTTTGAGAGCTTAGTACCTCTTGTTATCCGCCGCGCCGTTGTCACATTGCTCGATATGAATTTTATCGAATTTAAATTTATTACAACGCTAATTATTTTTTAGAATTAAGCATAAAGAAGTTCAAAAAATCGATAAACATTGTATTTTATGGTATTCTATGCACGCAGTTATGTTTTTTTCTCACAAATAGTTGAGTTTAGGAGCCATGTCATATAAGGTTTTTAAAATTAAGACAGCCAAATTTCTAACACCCTGTAGAAAATAAAAGCACACTAATTCATTATTGTTTACTTCTATATAAAAATATACCCCGAGTATAAACGCATTATTTATTTAGGATTGATTTAGGAGATATTTCGAGTATTTTAATAGTTTGAGGTAATATCCTAATTGATATTTACGCGTAAATTACCCAAACTGACGCAGAAATGTTACAGATGTCCGGCAAACGTACCACCGAGCAGCTCCGTCCGCTAAGAGCTGGCCGCGGTGTCCAGTTACATTTTTCCAGTCGTCATAGCAACGTTATTATAAATAAAAGTCGAAAACCAACCAGACTGGAATCTTGCCGTTTCAGGAATAGGCGAATCGGGTATAATGTTTCTCATTTTAACGAATGACCACTAAACTAAGCAAGATGAAGGCATATAAAAGGTACTCCTCGAGTCAATGGCCAGTCACTCAGTGAACCTCACAGTGTCTTGCTGCTCGTCCATCGGGTCCACCATGTTAACTAGGATACTGGCTATGTTCTCCGTCTCTCTCATCATCACAAGAGCTACCGGTGTGTACTTTTATCACTAACCTATTAACTAACCCCCAATAGTGACATTTGAGTTGCCGCAAGCCGTCCGGATATTTGAATCTCGCGCAATGTGTTCATGTAAATTGGTTTGCTGTAACTTTTCTCAATTTTAGTTCGATACAAGTATTGAATAAATTTTACTAATGTTTCTAATACATTGACTAAAATTTATGTATTTGTGGCTTTTCCTTCGTTTATTTGGCATTTGACACCTGTGAAAAATTAAGCGATTAAACGAACTAAAATAAAATCAGGTTCTTTTTGATAATCTGAAATGAATCAATGAAAGTTATCCAACAACAAAATTTATTTCCGTTGCAGTTTTATATCAAATGTAATTTATTTATCGTAAACAGTAGCTTTTATTCACACATTTTAATTGCAAATAATAGTATTTTTAGCACAGTAGTCAAGCTAACATTTTATCAATAATTATATCACAACGAAATATTAGATTTTAACGAAGTTTTAAAATTTTATTTTAATTTTGCATCGGTATTTAGTTGTGTTTCGTATTTTTTCATAATCTGTAATTAGTCCCGTTCCATTTTTGTCCTTATTTTGAAAATGAAACGACCTTTCATTTTTAAACGTTTTATAGTTTAAATTTTGATTGTTTATCTGAATCATTCGATATTTATTCTATTATTATTTATTTACCTCCTTTTAAAATTTTTGTAGCATCCAAGTTAATAAAATAATTTGACACACATCTTTGGTCTATTAATAAAATAAGTTAATATTTTTCTAAAATTTTGTATGAAAGTGTATTTTCTACTTGTGTTTTATTTTTCAACGTTTTTTGGCGCAAAATTTAGCATTTTTTTCACACGAAATACACAAATAAATAGAAAGGAAAATAAAAATATCCACAAATAACTAAATTTAAAGATGTTTTGTGTAGATTTTTCTGATCTAATTTAAACAAGAAAATTCCACATAATTCACGAACTAAAGCACATAAACTTAAACTACTCTATAGCCAGTATTAACATTATACACGTATTTTTAACGATGCCACGATTTTATTATTTTCGCCAAAAACAATGCCCTGAGGTAATCTTTTCCACAATAATGCTTAAAGGGAATTCTAACACGATTCTACGGTCAGTCCATTTTGTTTTTTATCAAAAATGTATTCAATTAGAAGCGGAAAAAAGCCGATTCATTATTTTCTAACGGAACTATAAAAGTTCAAATGCTATTTTTTGTTAAATAAAAATTGACACAACGGAACAGATTGACTGAACAGTATTTTATGCCGTTATTCGTTTTTTTAAGAAATGGGAATACGCCGCTACCCAGAAACTCAACAATTAAATTAATTGTTGAATGTTCCTTTAAATATTACGTTAAAAGTAAACGTTTTTTTAATACAAAAGTTTTTTGTGTAAATAATTTTACAAATATGTGGCTAAGAACGTAAAATAAAACCGTATGTTTATTTTCTTTGTATAAAAAATTACATTACTTACATCAGTAGCACCTGTCTGCACCTGAACCTGAAAAATAAAAAAAACATCATTAGTTTCATGATTTTAAGTGTTCGAAAATGTAAAAATGTAAATTATCGCTGTAAATTATCCATTGATATCTAGAACACCCCATATGTGTGCGTAAACATAAAAAACTACATATGTCCATTAATAACTTTAATTTTCCGATATGCTGGTCCGAATCTCTTTAACACCCTGTATAACGCAACGCTTCTTTGCAGAAGGCGCGCCAGCGGTGGCCACGGGACGACAGTTCCTTCCTGCTTTGCCGGGATACGTTCCCGTCTACATCCGAACTGGTGACACGCCATTAGAGGAAATTAACCCAGATCTGGCCGAGGCTTTCGGCAGTTACTCTTCGAAACACGCGAGGAAGGCGTTCAGCCGCTCAAACAACGCCATTAGCGACAAACAGGATGACTTGGACGTCAAGGAGACAGACGTCTCCTTGGGTGAGGATTCGAGTACAGACGAAGCCACCCAAAAAGTGGAGGTCGTGTACGGCGAGCCCCAGCACATCCAGAAAATCCCCAGGACCTGAGACGTTGTGATATACATATTTTTTATTTATTTTTGTTGTAAATAAGTGCTCAATATAACGATTTTTTTATAACATCTTTTATTGCCGCACTGGAAAATTGCTCGAGTTGTCCAGTGATGAAAAAATGTACTATAAAAATAAATTAACGTAACTTTTAATACAGAAAAATAATATACCTACCTGTTATTGTTTGCTTAAATATTATTTGATTAGATAGAATTATCTTATCTCATAACCCAAAGACCGACGAGCTGTATGGTATAGTAGTACATATCTAGGTACAACCGAGCAGGTTCAAAAGGTATGTAATTTTTATTTAATATTTATATAATTTTAATCTGTAGCATCCCGGAGCATACGACAACTATGTGATCGACCTGATTTAACGCACAGATTTAAATTGGGTCAAAAAGGAAGCTTAATATATTCACCTTATTGTAGATATAACCTGTAAATACAGGGTGCTCTAATTTCTACAGAGAATTTAAAGACGGTTGTAAAATACAATTTAATTTTACCGACCTTTTGAAACTAGCAAACGTTTTTCTAATTAATTCCGTTTGAACACTGATCCTAAAGCTCGAAATCAGTGAGTCACGCATACAAAGAAAACGTGAAAAAATAATTATTCAATTTTTTTGTTAATCTAACCACATTACTAAATACGTAATTACATTATTTATACTTATTATGATGATGCAAACCACATAATAAAAACGATGAGTAACAATAACTAGTTTCTAACTGATTTACCTATATTGTTAATTAAAGGTCATACAGGTTATATGTCTATATATTTTTATTTCGTTCCGACACCTTTAAAAACAATTAATGTTCGCAGATTTCTTTGGCTGACTCATTAAATAGTTTAACGGGCGGTAATGATGACATACCGCCTTTTCCGTCCGTCGTCTAACTTTCTATTTACGAGGCAAACCCTGTAAAAATTTCGACCCAACCCACTTCGGGTTAATATTTATAGCACTTTATTTATTTAGACATTGAGTCATATTCTTATCTTATCGAATTTCCAATGTATCCATCTTTTATAATCATGATATATTGGTACGAGGCTTACTTTGTTGTGTAGAAATCATTTCGAACATAATTTTGCAAGTGAACGTGCCACTACTTAACTTTTACTCCATAACTTATTGATTTTTTTTACTATACCTCTTTTAGAATGATTCCCAAAGAAGCGATAGTACTGAGTTTAGTTCTGGTGGGCCTGTCGCCGGTTCTAAGTCAAACCAATGGGGTCAGGCAGAACCTCATCCAGTGTTACAACAGTTCATACCTACCGGAAATACAGATAGCGGATGGCAGACCACCCGCCACTTTAAACATTTTGATAGAATTTATAAGACGACTGGAAGACAACAACCCAACAATAACTTCCAGGGAATTGTCAGCACTCATATTACACAGGCGAGTAAAACTATCCATCTTCCAACTTGAATTTACTCAATTTTGATCGTTTTAACGAGTATGTTATTTCTCAGACTTCGTCAAGATGGCATAATGGGTACAAGAAGTACAGGAGTAACTGACCTTAGATTTGGAGTACCCTTCAGTACGAAGCGATTGGAGGCGTATAAATCCACTTTGATTCTACAGAGATTCCTGACGAACATCACCGTTGATTTGAACTTCGGCGACCTCGAACCTGCTGAAGTTGTAAGTGCTTTTTAACTATGCTATTTTCCTTCATCTTCATTACTTTTCCTTTACGTCATATATTTTTCAGTGTTCCCTACATTTCCTCATATCCAGCACAGTAGAAAACAGAGTAAGAAGTGACGAAACTACCACATGTTCAAGGTCATCCCGGTACACGTCCAGAATATTTAGAAGAAAAAGAGAAGGAGAGGAACCTCCAGTTACCGAGGAACCTGTAATCCCTGATCTTCCCGAAGTTGATGGTAACTCTGGAGATGGTAAAAGCATCAATGAATAAGTCTGTGAATATCATAATCTTAAACACTTCCAATATCATAGGTAATGTTGAGGTGGTGGAAGGAGTGGAAGGATTTGGCGTACGATCCATTTTAGGAAGCACTAGCGACGTTAGCCAGTGTCCTATCGAACTAGGAGTTGTATACACCAACCACGGTACGATCAAGGCTGGTCAAGTCCTTGTTGGGATAGCAACAGGTTTCAACGCTGAAACTGTTTCTGGGAGCGATAACAGATACGCCAGTACGATTGCAGGTAAGTCGGTACCAATAATCCCTACGAATCGTTTTAAACAAATCATTGATTCCCAGGAGAAATAGCGGAAGCCGCCTTGGCACAAGCCACTACAACCATAGTCATAGGAGCTAGCGGTGGATGGAACAGCACCTTAAACCCCAGGTATTTCTTCCTACAAAGAAACACCCAGCTCCAAACCACTGACGCAGAAATAAGAGGATCTTTGGACGGTTTATACATGGCTTTAAGATTGGACTCGTGGAGGTCGCAGTTTTCCGATATCAAAGTGTCTCAAATTTTGGATTTGTACTATGCTTCTTACCAAAGGGGAGTATTCGATGAGTCCTTTAGATCTTGCAACAGAAGTCTCCTTTATACGGAACTGGTGGACCCGGAAACGCTTCGAGCTCAGATACAGGCTTTCATGGGTCCTTTGGATGACGCTTCGCAATACGGACAAACCGTTTCTTCAGCTGCTTATGAAGAACTCACAACCGCCGCTTTGAGCAGCTTTAACAGCTACTTCAGTAAGTCACTGATGATAGTAAATTAAACACAGACGGACCTGAACTGTTTTTGTTCGGCTTTACGTGTTATCAATGCGTTAATAATTGCAGTCTAATTAATAGAGTTATCATATTTCAGCACAAATGAACACCAACGATTTAGCTTGTACTCCGGATAATTCAAATATTGAAAGGGTTGCAACCGATTTATTGATTTTCCTCGACACCAGTTGGAATTACAACACCGTACAATCAATTTTATCGTAAGTACACATTAAATTAATAACTAATAATCCGGTCATATAATTATATATTACCATTCTTATCTGTTCTATTGCAGGTACGTATTGGATAATATCGACGTAAACAGATTTGGAAGCAGATACACTATTTTCAACGGACAAGATGGGACAAATGTTACATCGAACAACACTAACAATATACTAGATTTCTACAAGCAATACAATCAAACAGTTCATACTAGATGTAAGCTTGAGTGTTACAACAATTGTTCCAGTGCTAAGCTTTGTTTTAATTTTAGTATCCAATGGTTTCTCCTACACAAGAGTTATCGAGATAATAGAAACCATTGGTAGGGCAAAATTGGACAACAACACCTACGACGGTGCGGAGTCAACCATAGCACTTTTGATCCCAAGGACTACACCCACTGCCTCTGACAACACATTCTTGACTCAAAGAAGAGAAATTTTCAGGCAGTCCATACCAGGTATGACCGCCACTGTATAGACTCTAGCGGTTTCAATTTTTGTCTCTTTCAGATGTAACGTTTTTGGTACTTGGAACTGGCACTCAGAACGACTACAGCTCGATTGTCAATACTCCCAGTAGAGAAGTACTCATTTTAACTGAAAGCACTAACGAGGAAACGCTTAAACAATTCGGTCAGAACCTTGTGGAAAGGATCCAGAATGGTAAATATGGAAACATAGTCGTATCATTAACGAATTAACGTAACTCATCGTTTTCAGTACCAAGATCCATCATAAATCCATCCTGTGGTTCTGCATTCACTGGTTCCTCCAACACCTTCAGCGTGACAGACTTCGTGGAACCAAGAGGTGTTAACTACTACCGTATTTCTCCAAACTACTTCTTCACTGGGGACGGTACAAGGAACTTGAGGATAACCGAAAACAGTTACGGCAGCATCGACGTTTGCATCTCCAGAGAGCAAATTAGACCCAACAACCAAACTGGGGACTGTGAAACGCTAAGGTCACAAGTCAGGACGATTGACATTTCCGGCTACTGTGGGGAGACTGTTACTGGGTGTTCGCCGATCTTCATTTCAGTATTTGGAAATACCACCCAAACCAGATGTACAGGTAAATGTCAGGACCTTTTAATTTATACAGTTTTGGAAACGAAATGAAAAATGTGTCTTTGCCATTTCGTACGTCTTGTATAGACGATCCAAGCACCTCATGGTTTTGAGTGGTAGTATAACACTGTTTATTTTTGTTCCAGATAATTTGTGCCGTTTTCCAGACAACGTCAAGTACACGATAACCTTAGAAAATGTCGGTTGTGCCAGTAGTGCTTTCCGCATATTATCCAACTTTTTAGTTGTTGCGTTGTTATTTTCATTATTGCGTTTTTAAATACAATATGTCGCCCTAATTTATTTTTAATGGACTAAATAATTATTAACAGCAGCAGCTGCGTAAAATGCCATTTTTTATAAATAGTTTTAAGAAATACTATTTGTAAAGGCTAGTAATGTGCCAAAAAAAACAAAAAATTAAAATTTTATTATATTAAATTTCATCCAAACTCACACATATCTCTGCCAGTATTATAAAATCAATATGTATGACAAGTTTTGTAAATATAGGTATATTCTTAGTAAGAATAAATGTTTTTACATTATATTTCTTGTTAATTTAATATGCGTTGTTATTATTACTACACTCAAAAATTTCACTCAAATTTCACTAAATTTTACTCAATAATGTATCAATTTTTGTCCACACCCAATTGAGTGAAATTTTCACTCTGTTAGTATGAGTACAACTGATTGTGAATGAAACTATTGCATCAGAAATGAGTGAGTTTTACTCAAACCCGAGTTACTCCTAACTATCAATTGAGCGACCTTTGACTCTATTCTGAGTATATAAAACCAATTTAGAGTTGACTTTTTCTCTAATATGATTTAAATTTAACTATTATTGAATCAATTTTTACTCAGACTTGGTTTTTAATTAACTAAATAATGAGAGCAAAAATAAATCTCTCATAAATGATTAATTAGGATATACAGTGTATTCTGTAGGAAAAATTGACAAAATATGAGCTACATTATAGTTTATGTAGGTATATTCCGTACGAAATTTTACCAAAATATGAAAGTGCCCAAAACCTTTATAAAAGCAGCCCTATATATACGTTTTCCAACTCGCTGAAAACGCTGGTTTTCTCAGATTTACTCTAACTAAAAAAATATTGTCCAAAATTGCTTGAACTATATTATAGTTTATAGTATATTCTGTAGAAATTACCAAAATATGAAAGTGCCCAAAACCTTTATAAAAACGGCAAAATATTACGTTGTCGGACTCGCTGAAAACGCTGGCTTTGTCAAATTTACTCTAACTAAAAAAAAATTTTGTCCTAATTTTCTTGAGATATATTTATATGATATGTTTATGTATATTCTGTAGGAAAAAAATAAAAAGATATGAAAGTGCCCAAACCCTTTATAAAAACGGCCAAATATACGTTTTCGGACTCGCTGAAATCGCTGGTTTTGTCAGATTTACTCTAACTAAAAAAAATTCTGTCCTAATTTTCTTGAGCTATATTGTAGTTTATGTATATTACGTAGGAAATATTACCAAATTATGAAAGTGCCCAAAACCTTTATAAAAGCAGTCAAATATACGTTATCGAACTCGCTGAAAACGCTGGTTTTGTCAGACTTACTCTAACTAAAAAAAAATGTTGTCCTAATTTTCTTGAGCTATATTATAGTTTATGTATATTACTTAGGAAATATTACCAAAATATGAAAGTGCCCAAAACCTTTATAAAAGCAGTCAAATATACGTTTTCGAACTCGCTGAAAACGCTGGTTTTGTCAGATTTATTCTAACTAAAAAAAAATTTTGTCCTAATTTTCTTCAGCTATATTATACCTAGTTTATGTATATTACTTAGGAAATATTACCAAAATATGAAAGTGCCCAAAACCTTTATAAAAGCAGTCAAATATACGTTTTCGAACTCGCTGAAAACGCTGGTTTTGTCAGATTTATTCTAACTAAAAAAAAATTTTGTCCTAATTTTCTTCAGCTATATTATACCTAGTTTATGTATATTACTTAGGAAATATTACCAAAATATGAAAGTGCCCAAAACTTTTATAAAAGCAGTCAAATATACGTTTTCGAACTCGCTGAAAACGCTGGTTTTGTCAGATTTAATCTAACTAAAAAAAAATTTTGTCCTAATTTTCTTGAGCTATATTATAGTTTATGTATATTACTTAGGAAATATTACCAAAATATGAAAGTGCCCAAAACTTTTATAAAAGCAGTCAAATATACGTTTTCGAACTCGCTGAAAACGCTGGTTTTGTCAGATTTAATCTAACTAAAAAAAAATTTTGTCCTAATTTTCTTGAGCTATATTATAGTTTATGTATATTACTTAGGAAATATTACCAAAATATGAAAGTGCCCAAAACCTTTATAAAAGCAGTCAAATATACGTTTTCGAATTCGCTGAAAACGCTGGTTTTGCCAGATTTACTCTAACTAAAAAAAAATTTTATCCTAATTTTCTAGAGCTATATTATAGTTTATGTATATTCTGTAGGAAAAATGACCAAAATATGAAAGTGTCCAAAACCTTTATAAAAACGGACAAATAAACGTTTTCCAACTCACTGAAAACGCTGGTTTTGTCAGATTTACTCTGACTAAAAAAAAATTTTTGTCCTAATTTTCTTGAGCTATATTATAGTTTATGTATATTACGTAGGAAATATTACCAAAATATGAAGGTGCCTAAAACCTTCATAAAAGCAGTCAAATATACGTTTTCGAATTCGCTGAAAACGCTGGTTTTGTCAGATTTACTCTAACTAAATAAAAAAATTAACCTAATTTTGTTGAGCTGTATTATAGGTTATATATATTACTTAGGAAATATTACCAAAATATGAAAGTGCCCAAAACCTTTATAAAAGCAGTCAAATATACGTTTTCGAACTCGCTGAAAACGCTGGTTTTGTCAGATCTACTCTAACTAAAAAAAAATTTTGTCCTAATTTTCTTGAGCTATATTATAGTTTATGTATATTACTTAGGAAATATTACCAAAATATGAAAGTGCCCAAAACCTTTATAAAAGCAGTCAAATATACGATTTCGAACTCGCTGAAAACGCTGATTTTGTCAGATCTACTCTAACTAAAAAAAAATTTTGTCCTAATTTTCTTGAGCTATTTATAGTTTATGTATATTACTTAAGAAATATTACCAAAATATGAAAGTGCCCAAAACCTTTATAAAAGCAGTCAAATATACGTTTTCGAATACGCTGAAAACGCTGGCTTTATAAGATTTATTCTAACTAAAAAAATTTTGTCCTAATTTTCTTGAGCCATATTATATTCTGTAGGAAAAAATATAATCACAAATGAGTAAGATGCCCAATATTGACTGAAAATGTACTCAATTTCACTCAATGGATTCACTTCGAACCTTTATTGCTTCACTCACACAGATTTTTTTACAGTGTATTATTAACAAATAACGGTATGTTCTTTTCCAATATCCTTCAGACCTTTTACCTTTTATGAACTATACATTAAGTTATTTAGACTGTGCAATACCCAATCGAGTGGGGTTGAGAAATTGAGAAATCTTTAACAAAATTACGGAGCTTTTCTACTCCAAAGGAAGGATGCTCTGTAACATTAATAATTTTCCTTTGCAACAAAGGACGGCTTACATTCTGGATACCCACTATATATCCGTACTATATTGAAGATTATTACGTGCTGAAACGATGTTCAGTTTCTCAACCCCAAGATGATTTCTATTAGAGCTTGAAGTATACACACGACATTTATAAACATTAAGTATTATACGAAACCCGTTTCCCCATAGTCTAGATGAATTTATTAACATCATGTACCATGTTTGCTTCATAACAAAATTTTACTGATCTTTCCAATACATTTTCCGTTTTAACATTTATTCAAAAATAAATATTACCTTTATTGTCTTCGATATCATTTGCAAACCTTAACCAACTTTGTTTTTATAACTCGGAAGGTTGGGTGCGTACCCAACCTTATGGGCAGATATGTAAGGAAGCTAAGGGACTATAGTTTTGAGGTTTAAGGAAAACACTAGTACGAAATAATAATGCGTACTGTTCCCGAGAAAATTAATTTCAAACAGAATGTAGTTTGTACAGGCACTCGCTTTATTGTCTTCAATTATCAAACTAACCTACAAATTGCTACAAAGCTATCAAAGGGAACCTCGACATAATGGCGCGATAAGTGGAAAATTATTTTTTCCAAGTTAGATATTCTTAGAAGCACTTACTTTTTAGTATCTTGGATGGGATATTGTGACAATCCTATCAAATTAACAAAAGTAAATGGGTGGATTTAAAAAACGTTTATTGGAAAGTTCGGCGAAATATTTTTTTACTATACTTTCGAATAAAAGCGCAATTAAAAATAGCAAATGAACCATTGTAAAATTGAATTTCTCAATATCTCCGTTCGTGTAGGGTATATCCTTTCTGACATAACATTTCTCGGATTTTGACACGTAGGAGCAACTTTGTAAACCGTTAGTACAATCTGATCGAGGGACTCAAGTTCGTAAACTTCTAATAAAGTAATGGGTTACACGATGTAAGGCTCGATAAATTAGACGCCTCGTGAAGTTCATTCTAGGTACTAAATACGTCACAGGAGTTTAGACAAAGAAGAATTTATGCAATTGCAGTGTACCATTTATCCTCGACAACTTTTTATATAATGTAGCTGTACGGGAGACGCACGATGTTCTTAATTGTTTTTTACATGTTTTCTTGTGTGTACGACGGAATTGAATAATATTAAAAACTTTTGAAACTGCTTCTACGCCGTTGCCACGCGGATGAAGAATGTTACCTTCTATAGAGACACATAACAATAACCAGATCATTGGCGCCAAATTAATGCGGAATTTATCTTATTTAGATCTAGGAAGGAGGGCATTCACCTACCCCTTTACGCTTATTCGCTTATTAAATTCGATATTCACGAAAATAATTCAGCCAAACAGAAGTTTTACGTCTATAAATAGAACTCATTAATGAATCGACAGTGGCCGCAAGAGAATAGTAATACAACGACACTCCCACACACAAATTTCACGTATTTATAATGTACATACAACTGTTTGTTTGAATGAGCAACATCCATTAAAATTTAATTTTTAAAGATTAATTTTGCACATTGCTATCAAACGTTTCTTGTATCGATATAAAAGTTAAATAGATTTATTTGCAAACACCGTGGCATTATTTTTTAAACAGAACAAGGTTGTGATGGGTTCGTTAATCGATATACAGGGTGTCCCAAAGAGACCAGAATCACTCGATCCGTTTTCAGGATAAAGTTCTATCAAGAAAAGTTGCAGATAAAAGTTCCAGATATCATGAAACGAATGACCTTGAGTTTGACCTTGACACAAACTTTCAAGGTCAAACTAAGGCCTACTTGAAAATATTAAACTGAACGTTGAACTGGAGGTCAATATCATTTTTCTCCAAATAACTCAACGAAAAGGTTTCAAGCAAAATTTTATGTCCATTATTTTTTGTGAAGAATTAATTTGCCCTTCAAATGACCTACAAGGACATCCCAGAAAAATTCTTCGATCCCAGCGTATTCCATTTGATATTAATATGACCTTGGTTTCATCTTGCAAATTGTGGTGAAGGTCGAGTCCATCAGGTCATCATCTAATTTGTCCATCAAACTCCTATTACTTTTGCTAGAAACCACATTCGTATGTAAAATTTAGCGCTCCATCGTTTGTTGGCATAAAAACAGGGTGTTCCATTTAATATTTTCAAGTTAACCTTGATTTGACCTTGACAATGTCAAATTCAAAGTCATCATCATATGGGTTTCATCATATGGGTATTTTTTGATATCCTACAATAGAGCGTAAGTGGCTCCATCTATTGTGCTACGTCCTACCTACGCCATTCTGTGAACTACAATTTTCTTTCAAGAAAACGTAAATTTGATTATAATATGCTACATTTGTCTTGAATAATTCCTACATTAATACTAAATTTTAAATATATATACAGGGTGTTTCAGTTCGAGTGAATCAAACTTTAACTACAAATAGAACTCAATAAATAATTCAGAATTGCCTTATAAAGTTAAGTCTCACCGTTTTCACCGTACAAGGTCAGTTTTTAAAATATCAGTATTTAAGAAACCCTTGCTTTATAAGGCACTTATTGAATTCTATTTGTAGTTAAAGTTTGATTCACTCGAACTGAAACACCCTGTATATTTTAAGGAACTGGTAGTTTTGAAACAAATATGTTTGCAGTAAGGGATATTGTAGCTAAAGTCCGATAATAATAAATTTCAAAACTATAAAAGAATTGAATTTAATGATAATATATTTACAAATAATATAAATTCTAAGAAATATTATAGATTACAGCAAATATTTCACATAGTTTGAAGAAAGTGTATACATTTGAATAGAATAGAATAACATTTACGGCAAATAATTCCATTTAAAACTATCTGCTCGTTTGATCCAAACACTTTTTTTTTTCAGTGTATAAAAAACATTTTGGGAACTGTTTAGCTCTAAAACTTTAGTAGTCTAGACACTTGTGTAAATTATAATACTAATAATATAGTAAGAATCCAGTGATATCAAAACAAAATCTATATTTGTTTTTTTCTATTTCTGTTGTAAATGCTTTCTAACGTCTAGGCAATAGCCTTTGTTCGAAGCTGTTCGTATTGTATATTTCGCTGTTAAATAAATTATACCTACCAGCCAACTACGCTATCAAATTTTCAGTATCTAGTCACGACTGACAATAATATTTGTGAAATGAGAATGCAGAATTTATCGGAAAGGTGTGGGAAACATTTCTTGACTTTAGACATCCATCTTTTGCTATTTAAAGAAGTATCTTAATTAGACGGAGTGCTAAAGGATTTGACGCCTCCGAACCGATCAAATTTTCATCCGGGTAGTTAAACCAGGATCAGGGCACGCTGTGATTAAATAGTCGAAATTATTCAGAAATACCTTTACCAACGACTTTGTCTAAACCTGAGGATTAAACCGGGAATGGGGGGGGGAAGAAATTTTATTAGCTTGCTGTGGAATGCGAATTAACAACTGGGAAACCGTAAAAGGCAACTACACGGAATATCAAACCTAATTTAAATTAGATATATGCGTTTCCGTTATCCGGAACTGTGAAGATTTACCAAAGTTTAACAACTAAATCGACTAACATGTTATTGGAAACAGTGTCGAATAAATTATGTTCCATTTTTTGAACAAATGTTTGTAAATCACCTGCGTGTGACAAATTCCGCTATCTGCAGTATCTGTTTATGTAAATAGTTGGCCGTGGGAGGGAAGATAAGATACAGCGATCCATTATCTGTTTCAATCGTCCCTCCGGCAATAATGTGATAAATAACGAAAAAATGAAGTGCAAGTGTGTATTGATCCTACTGTTGATACATAGTAAGCGTCCGTTTCGACGTTAAAGCGCCGGAATTTAATTGTGAAATTTCAGGTTGTGCAACGCAAAATGTCCGACAAACCTCGTCGGCCCTACCCGAAATCATCAGGGATTGTTACAGAAGAAATTTCACAATCACCTCCAGACCCCCTTTAACCCTACCTTTATTAATTGAGTTAATCCGCAAAATTGAACTAGACGAGGGCAACTCTGTTTCTATGAGAATACTTGCAACATCTATGCTACATGGGTGAGGTCATTGCTTTGTCATTTCCATTGTAATCGAATTGCGCCCTACAGGGCGATACTAATAACTAACGCTTAAATCATGAATATATTAACGTCGAATATGCTGCGAACGATATTCTTTATTTGCAAACATAACCACGTACATATTTATTGATCGTATAAAACTTTAATAAAATATTGCATCAGTATCAGCAATGTACGGGTGTAAACATCTTGTCATTTATTTACTATCTATTATTTATAGGTATTACTATTTCAAATAGAAAATCGACTGCTATTTAAGAAGGATCGGATGCTTAATGGGGGGGGGGGTAAAGTGACACGCGGGGAGGTCTTTACTTACCGTGTTAGATAACACAGCCACACACAAAAAAAAGTTGTCTGTACTTTCATAACCGTAGTATTTTTGCCTCCTGATAGCGAATCCTGTGTCAGAATTGAGCTATCACATCACGAGAATTTCCTAACCTCAAAAACAGGTCAAAAATAGCAAAAATTCACGAAAAAGTACTAGGAAAAATTTTTTCTGTATTCAAATGTTAATTTATATGGTTAAGACCACGCCGAACATGAATCCGCGCCCAGAATTGATGATTCTTTTACTAACCTCAAAAAAACCTGTCAATTATGGTCAGATATCACGAATTTTCAAAAAAATAACAGATTCGCGCCAAATTTGGTATTCGGGGGATTTCGGGATCACTGATCACGGATCAGAGGTCAATTTTGCAAAATTCAAGATGGCGGATCCAAGATGGCATCAAATTTTCAAAAAATAATAAATTCGCGCCAAATTTGGTATACTGGGGTTTTCGGGGTCAATGATCACGAATCCGAGATCAGATTTACAAAATTCGTTTTCAAAAATTTTATCAATTACCTATGGGCAAACAACAAGTGAATAGATTTTTTACAGAAAAATATACAGCCGACAAAAAGGTTAGAACATGATTGGGTACTCAGGTTATAAAGTAAAAAAAATATTACAAAATGAACTTTTTTTTGTGTGGCTGTGTAATCATTGCTGCCAATGCAAAGAAAAATATTCTTTATGACTACAAAGTAAGTAGATTGAGATACTTGCTTGTAAATATTGAAATCGAGTTTAAATTATATATTTCCATCTAAAAGCTGTTGAAGGGCAATTTGTGGAGCCAGAACCTCCGCACACCGTTCGAGGGCAACAACTAATCGACTAAGAGTACATGGCACAAAGCATGCACTGCTCTTTTTGCAAAGAACTTTTACGTATTTTAAATATCTACAAACTTTGATCACGAAGTGAATCGCGTGGAAAAGTTTAAATATGATTTAGTTACATGCATAAGTAGCATACTACGATGGTGCACTTCAGTGAATACAAATGTTCCTTATAAGACAAGGGTTTAAAACGAAAGTATAATACAAATTGATATATGTAGTATTATACTGTGATACGATGTTATTGCTGCCAAAAATATTCTAAATAATATACTGAAGTTATTGAAATGTTAACACTTTAAAACAAAAACAAATCTATAAATAATTCGAGAATAATTCACAGAATTTAATTTCGCATTGCAAAAATAATATCTCAATAATACGAAACTGGTTGCATTTTTTCATAGCACCCGATCCTCAGGTTGGTAGGAAAAACAAAGACGGTTCTTAAAAACTGTACTTAAGTACAGAAAAATCAATAATCTCGTTGACATTTTCCCAGAGATATAAACCGCAGATAATTTGGTACATTCGAACTCATTATTTATGGCAACTAGTTTGGGACACTCTTTATAAGTACGCACCTTCTTGAATAAGCCAGTGACTCAAATGAAATGCATTAGGTACAAGTATCTACCCACACGTTGAACGGTACAGCTAAATTGTTTCAGCCGTACCCCCTTCTAAATCTTTAATATTTAAATCCTACCTACCTAATTTCAACGACGTTTCGGATGCCACCGTTTCTTTGTGATCATTTATTTACGAACGCATATTAACTTTTATTTTAATGCAATGACAAATATCTAGGAACATACAATGTTTTATGCGTATTCCCTCTGGGCGAATAACGAAAAAGTTACATCTTCCAGAGTGATGTTCAACGGCATTAGGCGGTCACAAAGCGTCCTCCAGGACAACGACATCCTGATCCCTTACAGAGCTACTGGAGAGCAATTCTACAAGTACAGGGTGATTGTGGACTACCTAACGCCGGGACAAATAGAACTCTTCCCTTCAGACGCCTTGAGTACTCCAGAATTGTGCTTCCTCCACAGAATGATATCCAACACTGTCGATCCCTTCAGGAGAGGGGATGAGCTTTTTACTTGCAACGATCGATCAAGTATGCCGCTGTAAGTATACGTACCTCGTTTGTTTCGGGTGTAACTTGATGTGATTGCGAATTTGGCGGTGCCATAAGAGCTGGCATAATATGCTGAGGGTATATAATTATGCGTAATACTAAGGGTATATCAAATCTGTAGGGTTTTCGTACGACAAAGGACCAGCGCTAGTCTAAGATTCCTTCAAATTCCCTTTATTATAGTTGGAAAATTAAACATTAAAAGGATGCGATACTGTTTCTGTTGGACATGATGGCTTTTCCATGCGATTGTTTATTAGTTTAAATACGGAAAATGCTGTGGCAGAAAAATATTTTACGCTGACAATGAGCCATAAAAATGAATAATAATTGCGTTACCATTTTTGTACCTATTTAAAAGTTATTAAATTAATTTAATGTGAAAACCGTACTATCTACATAAATTACAGGTAAATGGAAACATTTAACATTTTACAAAACATGTTATTGACTCATAAAACGTACGTATAAAAATAAAGTTACTAGAAATTGTAAATAAATTTAACACTGATAATAAGCGATCCGGTTTTCAAGGTTTTTAAATATAAATCTGACTTTATTCTAAATCAAGTACGCTCCGGTCTACGGTTCACCAACGAGTTGCCGCCCAATGTTGGTAACGCGCTACTTATTTAGCAATGACTCGATCCGCATAAAGTAAAACACTGCACACGGAACTTCCGCTTACATTTTAAAACAATTACGCTCATCGCAACTTTGGTTGCATATGTAACTAACTTGTTTCATTCCGCCGAGAGCTACATCCAAACTACCAGAAAAGCCATTAGTTAGTTTAACTGAAATTGATAATTCTGTGTTTATAGTGTTGTCTAAATCAAATGTACAGACTAAACGTAACTCTGTACATTTACCAGAAATTGTAGCAGACACCACCTAGTTATCCAAATGGGATTAAATATACAGGGTGTGAGAAGTTTGACTGCTATTACCTCAGCATGAGATAGTAATCATAAATGAACAAAAAGGTTATATATTACAGGAGCGTAAGATTAACAGTTTTCAAAATACAGGGAGTATTAATATTAGCGAGTTTCATCACAACGTGACAACAGCGCGACATGTCCTACGGAAAAAATGTAAACAACTATTATTATGAAGCATTTAGTAAATTTCAAGACAATTGTTTTCCAGTTTTTAAATAAATTAAATAAAATGTATCGATTTAGTAGTACGAATATAGTGCTGTGCTTAAATTTTAGCTCGAATTTTAGTAATTACGAATCTCTTAAAACAGGAACTTAACTTTTAATCAAACTATGAATTTGAAAAATATGTAATTAAAGTACCCAAATAATTACGTCATCCAAATAATCATACGTTTTAAAAATAATTTAGGTGCTTACCAAAGAGCAAATTCAGTAATTTTTAAACGCGCAAGTATAAAACAAACTACAACATGCGCTCAAAATGTCCACCACCATTTTCTATCCACGCACGACACCTTCGAATCCAATATTAGAGCACTCACTGGAAAACACCTCAAAAAAGGAAATAGTGGTACGTAAAAAACACTCCGACACGGTCGAATCCAGATACCAACTGAATTGCGTATTGGTGGTTGCTGGACACCTTAGTACCTCGTGTCGTGTTGTTAATAAACCGCCGCACCGTTGTCAAATTGCTTGATATGAATTTTATCGAATTTTAAATTTATTACAACGCATTTTTTAGAATTAAACATAAAGAAGTGCAAAAAAATGATAAACATTGTATTTTATGGTATTCTATGCACACACATGTCAATATTCCTTAATTATTCGAAATGGTTGAATTTAGGACCCATGTCATATAAGGTTTTTTTGTTTATTTTAATGTATTCTATCGTCTGTTAAAATTAAGGAAGTCAAGCTTCTAACATCCTGTAGAACTCAAACAAATCCTGCTAGAAAACAGTAAACAAGAAACATCCAAATGTATTCTTTGACTTATTTTAAAACGAAGAGTAAAGGGAAGCACGCCACTGGTCTACATAAACCCAAAATATCCGAAAATTTATTGGCTATTTTACTACGTAATGCTGGTCCGACTTTTTTAAGAATTTTATGCTTTTTATGGTTTAATGACAGGGCGCTAAAACTACCAAACGAGTTTTTAAGGACATTTTTTATTATTTAAATACAGTTTTGCATTAAAGTTCAATAATTCACACACGAAAATGTGTTACCTAAATAGAAATTTTCAATAGTCTGGCAAAAATTATACAGTGGCGGCGTACAGTTAAGAGCAACAGGAAACAGAATGTTATGATAATATCTCTATAATTTAATCCCTATATACAGGGTGTTCCATTTCGCGTGGGCGCTACATAACTTTGTTATTTTAAATGGACACCCTGTATATTATTGCGTTCTTGAATTCCATTAGGTAGAGTTTATTAAATGTACATGGTATTTAAAACTTACCGTTTTCGAGAACACCCTGTATATATATAAATATCTAATTATTGGTATGTCAATGCTGAGCATTGGAAAGTTGTACGTAGGCATAGAAATAGCGGAAAATTTAATTTTCCGCAAAATTGGAAACTGAGGCGAAATTATTAATATTTCCAGGGAGGTGACGCAGGGCAGTACGGACGTCCTGAGTGGCTGTCCAGTGCAGTACGGCATCATCAAAACAAAGTTCGGACCCATATCAGCCGGACACGTAATATCGGGATTGGCGTCTGGATTAGAGAAGAACCAGGTGACGTTCCAGCGGGTCATCCAAGCTATTAATGAAAATCACAATGCCACAGACATTCCCGACACATTCATATCGAGCGATAATGAAGTTAACAGCGTATGGGTAGCCACGATAGCAGGGGATTTGGCCGAGGTTATCCTGAATCAGACCACGGATGAACCTGTTATTGGCAACGACGGGTTTTGGAACGACACTGCGCTGCCCAGGGCTTTTTATTTGAAATTGGCCACTTGGGACATGACGGAACCTGACATATTAGGCGGAATCGACGGTATAACATCCATATTTCTATTTCTAATCTATTTTTTTTTTTCAATTTCGAAGCCATTTCCTCACACTTTTTTACTACAGTTAATTGGATATGCAGGGTATTTTGTAAGTCCACATCATTTAACACTAAATGGACCAAGGATCCCGAACCCCCAGTTTTCGAGATACAGGGTGGAGTTAAAATAACATTCAATTTATTCAAATATCCCTAAAAATGTTTCGTGTTGCCAATTATAAGCAAAAATTCACTGTATTGTACATTGGAAGGTTTTCGAACGACAAACGTGGGTGGCAAAGGGTGCTGAGGGTTGACGAGGGGGTTGGATTAATTTTCGGTAGTCTTCTTTGTTTTCAGCAGCCTAGAAAACGTAGGCATACAAACCCACTCGACTTTGTATCAAAATTGACACTTCAACCCTCACAAAGGAATACTCATCCTATCGACATCCCTCATCGACTTTGTATGAGAATTGATATTTCAACTCCCAGAAAGGGGTGTAGGGGGGTGATAAAGATACGCTAGGGGGTAACGAGGGGGTAGGGGGGTCTACCCTCTGGGCCTTGACACTTTTTTTTGTGTGCCTGTGTATTTTAATAAACTTGTCATTTATATACAGGGTGTTCTCAAAGTTGAGTCATTTGTTTTAACAGCTGGTAGAACTCGTAAAAAAGTCGATTTACCAAAAATCGTTTATATAAAAGTTGCAGAAAAAGAGTTAAAAAAATCCTGTTCTACAAAAATTGTTCAAAACTGTTAACATTTATGTTTTTACAACGCAGTGGTCGAACATGACAATAAATCAAATTTGTATTATAAAGTTTTTAAATTTAAATTTTTTTAAATAATTATTAATAATAGCTTTATTTGGCAACTTTTATGTAAACGATAAACGATGGTAAATCGACTTTTTTTACGAGTTCTACCAGCTGTTAAAATAAATGACTCAACTTTGAGAATACCCGATATAGTTATACACTACTGAAAAAAATTGAAACAGAAAATATTCATGCCTCTACAAAATCAAGGCTAACATGATTTTTGAAATATTTGAAAAAAAACGAAATGTTGGAAATCCGTTTTTACTTCAGCAGCTACTTAGGGTATAGAATAATTCAATAAACATAGAAATCTGAATAAAAATTTAGATAAATTTAGAACAAATACATTGAAGATGAATTTTTCGAGACAAAACGTCTGAATCTGATTCGGACTGAGGCAATACAGTATTGGGGGTCATGAAGGGAACAAAAAATGTAATAAAATTTCCAGGATCGTATTAAAAAAAATAAAGTTGATGATGGTCCTGGAGTGACGAAACGTTACATATAATAATTGATTATGCCATTTGATGGATTTGATTAGATGGCAAAAAGTTACCAGTTTCTTTTTCAATATTATCTCAAACAAGGCTGAAATGAAACAAAAACGGATTTACAAAATTTCGGTTTTTTCAAATATTTCGAGAACTTTTTAGAGGCATAATGTTGGTCCCCTGATTATGCAGCTTTGCCCCATTTAAGCTACGTATCACTTACCGTTTCCGAAATCCCTGTAGTGAGAAGCGAATTTGTAACACGGTGATATATCAATCTCAATCAAATTGAAACCATGGTAGTTAATGCTTCCAAAGCGATGGTACTTTCTTCAAAACCGATCGTTAACTTATACTTTGTAATTTGCTCGTTAACTGAACCATTGAAGTAAAAACATAAGTAATTACTGTCAATTCTTATTAAGGAATTATCTATGCAAATGCCTGGAGCAATGAAAGTGCTTTAATTGCGATCTCTATTTCAACGAACTCTGAATGAAGAAAAGTTAATGTATTCTGTTCCTTTACTGCCATTTCTCCTGCCTTTTTTCACCTACCGACAACCACCGGGAAATACACCCCGTTTTTAAAATGTAAATTTCCGCTGTTACCGTTTCCGGGTACGAGATTAAGTGTATAATTTATTAACCATTCGCGTGTGATTTTATAAAGTTCTCTGAAAAATATAAAATAGTCCCAAGATGGATAAAAAAATCTTAGTGTTAATAAAGGAGCATTATTAATTTCGCAACCTTAACCTTTACAGTCCTCCAGGGCTTTGTTCACCACGAGCCGCCACTGAGTTCTTACCGATCTTTGCAAATTTAACCGTTTAATTTGTTCTTTGTTTAAGTGAACGAATTCGAAAGTGCATAAAAAATTACCCGCTTCTCCGTCGTACAATTTCCTTTCAGGAGTAAATTATAAACTGTAATATTAAATTTATAACCCCGCAATTAGTTCCCTTGACATTTTCCGGCAACGCTAACAGCTCTTACGCAATCCGACACAATCTTTAATAATGCATCGTTATCCCTTTTTCCAATGGCCCTTACGCCGCGCACAACGCGTGTAAATGTAGACAATTTTCCAAAATGTCATCATCACGCGTAGATTGCGCATACGGATTGTACGGATGCCTGTTCAGAAAATGACCGGACATTTTTAATTACGTGCATAGCCTCCTTTGTTCTTGGATTATCTCGATTTAATCCAATCGAATTAGATAACACCTGAAAACTTGACTTATTAGTAGACATTTGAAACGTTGAAGGCAAAAATCTCGCGCGCGACGAGGGCAGCGTTCGCGCGCGTGTGCGGGCCTGGCGCTCCTTCTCCCACGAGCAGGCCGTTCTTTAACGTTAACTTTTAGTGCTTCTAGCGCGTTTATTATATAAACTGTCAATGTAAAACTTTCTGTTTAACCTTTTCTGTAATTGGCTCTAAAATTCCGGTCCGATACGTCCAATAGTTGATTAACAGTTAACGGTATAGAAAAATAGCTATCTTGGGAACAAAGAGGCGTAGGCGATTTCTCTTTTTTTTTAAATTACCGTAAACATAAGCTCTATTTAATGCAAAAAGAGCGAATTCCCGAGCGGCTTCTGCCTAATCCTAGGACGATTTATTTATAGCGCTGTTTTGCACATCCTACTTTGTTAGTTCCAAGAATAGCTCAAGTCAAGGTGAAACTGTGATCCCTGTGTACTATCAGTTTTGTCAATTCGTCAGTTTCATGCCAAAAATCAGATTACTGTCCTCCGTCACCCTGCGCAAAAAGCATTGTTTTCTACATACTTCACTTTTAGGGTCACTTTTATTCATAAAATCAAAAAATATACAGAATGATATATGTAACACGCACACATCTCTGTTTTTCTATGAAAAGTAGCTGCAAGTTTTTGAATGAAAATAAGATAAAAATGTGGGTCGGAAAATGTCAGTTAACCCGTTTAAAAATAACGAGATACGGTAATGACATAAACAGGGCCGAATGAAAGCTGTTATTAATGATTATCCTTTATTCTCGCGTTTCACTTGTCTCACAGCTACATTCATCCCTCTTAAATGTGGAAGTAATTCATTTTATCATATATTTACGGCGCACAAACACAACAGACGAACTTCTTTCAGGGCTCCTTAAGTATTTTCTTCTGTGAGGTGGAGTTTTATTTAGACTTGTCACTTTCCTGATAGGACCTTTTCACAACTTCTGACATTTTATCGGTAACCACACAGCGCACACATCTTTTAATTACCGTTAATTAACCATGAATTTTAAAGAAAATACTTTTTGGAACAGTGATGTCCGATGTAATTGAGATATACAGGGTGTTTGAAGTTTGACTGCCTCAGTTTTAACAGACGATAGAATACATTACAATAAACAAAAAAACTTTAATAACATGGGTCCTAAACTCAACCATTTCCGAGAAAAAAATTATCAAAATCTCCAAATTCGATAAAATTCATATCGAGCAATGTGACAACGGCGCGGCGGACAACACGAGGTACTAAGCTGTCCAGCAATACGCAATTCAGTTGGTATCTGGAATTGGACTGTGTCTGAGTGTTTTTTGCGTACCACTATTTCCTTTTCTTGAGGCGTTTTCCAGCGAATGCGCGAAAATTGGATTCGAAGGTGCACAGAAAATGAACATTTTGAGCGATTTAGTTTGTTACACGTGGTACGCACCAGCTGTGTAGCGTAATACACAACTTTTTTGTTAATTTATGATTACTCCATCTCATGTTGAAGTAATGGCAGTCAAACTGCTTACACCCTGTAGAATAGAATATCGATCGAAAATACTTTGTACGTGAAACACAAAGTAGCTCTTTGTTGGCCACGTTTTACGAGTTGACAGAATTTATAGACCGTTTAAGTAACTTTCGAGGAAGATTATTTATTCTTCGAATTTCATTTCTTAAGGTTAATCCCGAGCTAGAAGTGAAAAGGTAAATATCGCCCGTCCGCCATCCTTTTTACTTTCAGTCAATACAAATAAAGTCAAATTAGGGTTACACGATAAGCACGAGCAGGGCTTTCTCCACGTCACTGGGGACATCCATCAAACATTTTTATTTCATATTCAGAATTTGCGCTTTCACATGCTCCATCTGTAAAATAAAATCACTACAAGAAGCGAAAGTTAATGCAACGCTCGACATCGAACCTACAGAGCGCTCCCAGATCTCCAGTCAAACAAAACGCAAATCTGTATTCGAAAGTTAAGTAAAAAATTTTATTCGAAAGTTAAGTAAAAAATTTTATTCGAAACTGCAGTAAAAAACTTTTTACGAAAGTGAAGACAACTTTGTTTTTAACAACACCACTGGACACCCTGTACGTTAATTGTCAAACTTTTTCCTCCTACGTGTGGGCTGCTCCTTTCACTCTAACACGAATTCGCGATGCTGGTAGCTAGATGCGAGGTTTCTTTTAATTCGAGCCGTTTTATGGGTCAGTTTCCTTTTCGCTCATTTACAAACCCGTGTGGTTGACATTTCCAAACTCCACTCCTTGGATAAACATGAAAGAAACATAAAAGAAATATTTCCCACTTAGCTAACAACATCGCAACTTCCCCGAAATTCCCGCACATCTGCGCACGAAGTCGACGCAGATAACGCACGTCGGGAGACCTGAACTTTCAGAACTTGTCGTTATTAATCTTAACGTGAGTACTGGCAGGTTGACACTTTAAAATTATACAGGATGTCTCGTAAAAATCAGTCTCAAGGACGAATATGTGTTTTTAGGTGCAATGTTGGGAACAAACGTCAACTACTGGTTAAATATCCTGAGCAGCACACGTCTGTCCCAAGTCCTGGACATGTACTATTCAGAAAGAGGCATTCCTTTCAACTTTGGTCACAAAGCTAACAATAGAACTGCGGCGCTAAATGCTTTATTGGACAGCGTCAACTTTACTGAACAGGTAAAATATTTTATATTTAAATATCAAGAGGAGCTAGATATGGGAACTACACTGGTCACTGTACAAATATCTGCTATTAGAAAAAGTTAAAATTGTATCTATCTACGAAATAGATCGAAATACGGCAAATACTATTACATTATTGATGCTATAATCTACAATATTACGGTTATTAATATTTCAGTGACGAGGCAAGCCCGATGGAGGTGGATTAAATTCGTATCCCATCGACATAAAAAAAACTAATTGACGTAGAACAATGAAATGCCACATAATCTCTTAAGCTCTGACGTTCTGTTTTAGGTAATCGGATCAGTGAAATTGTTACAAGCTGTTGGACAATATGAAGTTACCCTTGGCGATAACGCCATTACAGTTTTAGCGGACAAAGCCATCCAGCAACTGAAAACCGTCGCAGGTCAGTTTATATACGTGGCGTCTCGCATTGATCGTTGACTTTGTTATTATTATAGGTACGAAATCGGCACAAATACAAGAGAAATAGCCATTGATAATCGCGTTTGCCACATTTCTATATGTAAATAGAATCACAGACAATATAGCTTATCGCCACAGACCGCGCATTAAATGACCTACATCATACATTTAAGTAAATACAGTAACGCAAAAAACAGATATTGATAAAAAAAGTGTACAAAATAAATCCGTAAGTACGCCTGGCAACATTGCCAAAGTGTTGTTTATATGTTGCTAGAATATATGTAGGAATGCGGGCCGCTGCATTTGATTCTTCCTAAAATTCTGCTGGTGGTGTACTCTATCGGCAATTCGGTTTAAAACTGCTGTCCTATCCCAGTAGCGGTCTGGGGCGAAGCTATATTGTCTGTGATAGAATAGAATAATCTTGTGAGTATCACTGTATCACTACAACAAAGTTTTAAAATATCGTCTCGGATACGTTTTGGGTTAAACTTGACGCAAATTGCGTCCGAAATTTTGCATAAATCACATTTAACGTTCACAAAGAAGGCTCTTAAACCGCATTGTATTTAACGATGCACTAAAATTATTCATATGCTCACGTGAAAGTTGTGAGACGGAAGAGATATTGAACATACAATCTATCGTTTTCGAATTAGGTTCAACGTTACAAGACTGGTTTTGTGGTTTATAAAAGTATTAGCTTAGCTAGCTCGTTCTTAATTAATTAATTATTCAATTATCGGCATCAATAAGTTGAAATATCCACAAACCTACCGAAAAAAAAATATATTTTTCCGCTATTTCGAGGTTTGACGCAAATTGAGAAGGAAATATTGCGTGACATGACAGCAAATATTTTAGAGGTTATAGTTCATTTATACAGGGTGTCCCGTAAAGTACTTCTTCGTTTGTCCGCTAAATGGATTCAAAGTTCCTGAAATGTTTGTGTGGCTAGATATCTTCTGCATCTTGCATTTCTGGAATCGAACATTTTTTGACTTCATACGAAAAGATTTAAAAAAAATATTGAATTTGAATAAGCTTAATGGGGAAAACCGATATTTTTACCGAGATCGCCATAGATTGACTAAGGTGCTGAGACTTCTAGTAGGCAAAGGGACAAACGGGATTTTCCCGCATCACTAGGGTAGACGTCCGATCACAGTCCTTGACGGGTCCGCAGAGGTTCTCTAGCGAAGTCCGTCTAAGATTCCCCAGTTCGAATTTTGTAATATTCAGTTTCCGAAATTCGAAACTGAGGTGATTTTTTCTTTTCGCAAAAAGTAATCTTTAGACTTGCAAAAACCTCGACATCGCCAAATTTTAATTTATTAAACAAAAAACATTTGTTTTTCGTACCATCAATTAAAAAAACTAAATAAAAGATTTTGAATTATTTAAATAGTACCTTTTCAATTTTCGCTGATCTTTCGAGACAATAATGAAATTAAAACCTACACAACAGTTAACAGAGATGGAAAATGGTAGAAACAGTGCAGCTTTTTGCGCACCGTGTATTTTGGCATTTGTAGTTATACCTGATGTTTATTGCATTTTTTTGTAACCGGCATGCGTTCAAACTAGCAAATTTTACGTGAGTAAATAGAGCAAATGCGCCTTCAACTAGAAGTATAAACCCGACTACAGATTTACCTAGTATAAAAACTGATTTGTGTAACTTTTTAGAAGTTGAACAACGTACCCACGTAGCTTAACGTTAGAATACCTAATTTCGACGGTGATGTAATATTTACGAGCGACCAGTGCTCAGACCTTAGCCTAAATCTACTGTGGCTAATTCAAATTTCTGCAGTTCTTGGGTAGAATCATTAACTCGACATTTGCAAGCGGTTACATGAACTTGCTCGGTCGAATTTTTAAGCAGGTCGCTTTTTTGGATCTACAGGGTGTCTCGAGTTACAAGGTACACTGCTACAGACCTATAATATTACCGACATTTTTTTAAATAGAATGCTCTATATTTTATAGTATAAATAGTTGTCAAAAAATGGAGGAATCGACTGAAAACAATAATTTAGTATTACTTTTTATTTTATTACAGCAAATGTTCAAAGTGGCCCCCATTAACCATTGCACAATACCCAATTCGGTGTTCAAAGTTATCAATTACATTTTGAATGACATTTGGTTTCGAACTTCTTCTCTGATAGTGTCTGGTCTGTTCACATGCACTTTTCCTTTTAGATAACTCCACAAAAAAAAATCTGGAGGTGTTAAGTCAGGGGTGCGTGGTGGCCATTCAAGCGACACTGCCTATATCCATCGATTTGGGAAAACTCCATTAAGGTAATTTTCTTACATCGAGGCGAAAATGTGGAGGGGCACCATCTTGTTGGAACAAGACATCACCAGCAGCAAAAAAAACGTCGTTAATGTTATAAGTCTGTCAAACGTGGCTCAAAAAAATAACTGTTTCAGCGATTTTTTAAAGTTTAAACTGGAAAAAATTATGAATTTTGTACCATTATTTTGGGACACTCTTTACATTTTTTTAATTTTGACATATTTCCACCACACTAAGCTGACATCTTAATTCCATTGAAAAACTTTAAAAACATATTTTATTATTAGTTTTTATATTTTTCCGGTACAATTTCTTAAAAATATTTATTTTTTAGGTAACACAGTAAGTGAATACGATAAGGTGGAGTACATAAACGGCAAAGAAATGGCATCTTCGCTAGAGTTAATCATAATTTTGGACGGCACCTTTGCCTACTACGATGCTCTGAAACTGATATAGTAAGTATGAGTACAACTTTTTGAAAAAGTTTACGAGCCGGTCCTGTATAAAATAAGAAGTATGTTGTCGGTGCAACGCAACAATAACTTCAACATTAATTAATTATGAATGACTCGTAGTGGAGTGAATGAATAAGGAATTTTAATTTTGAAATGATTCAGAATTATATTTAGTTTCTACATAAATTTGGATTTCCCACAGTTCTAAATTTATGATTTATCTGTACAGGGTGGAGATCTCAATAAACCAGATAATCAAATATAAAAAATGGATCTACTATAAAATATAAGTCCGTGACTTTAAAACTGTTTATAATAAAACAAAAACGTCAAAATTGAAAAATCTATTAGCGCGGTATTCATTTATCTCGTATGTTATTAACTGGACAATTTCAGTTAATTCAGAATAATTAATTAGACAGATAATTAATTACTTAATTAATTAATTAATTATTCAAAATTATCTTCATTAATGTAAAAAGAAAGTGATATTAAAAAGCAGAGTTAAATTACCATATTGTTTAACTTTTTACTTTATTTTAAAGATTTTAAGCTGATTCAAATCCAGATAATACAGATTTTTGTTATCAGAGAACATTGTTTGGCTTCTTATGAAGACTTTTGGGACAAATTTTTGAATTTATGTGAATTAAATTGTCCACCCTGTACAAATGAGTGTACGGTGAAGCCGCATTACTCACAAGACATATATCCTTTAGCGGACATTTTTTACCGCAGATAACGATTTTTTCAACCCACCCACCGATGGAAAACGCCAATAAGGTATATAATAATGAATCATAAACCTAAAAATGGCATCAGAAGGATCTTAGCAGCAAAGACGAATGGCAACTAAAGAAAACAAATTAATTTAATAAGTTTTGCTCGGGAGACGAAGTTAAGATTTCACGGCAAGCAAATCATCAGGTAATGGGATTTAAATACCCGATAAGATTACAAAATCTATCACTTTAAGATTTAGACGCACCTCTTTCGATGCATCCTAATTTCGAGGGAAGCCTGCAAAAGTAAATATAATCCCGACTCTATTTCCTTATCTGTACTAGTAACATTTTCTCTTTCCTCATCCGGCAAATGTTTTAAGACGAAATAATTCGGGCGTGTTTTGAAAAATCGATAATTAATTTTCTCCCAAATTTAACATCCGGGAGGAGACTTTTTCTTATTGTACGTTTTAAATCATGGAAAATGATAATCCCCGCTGCCGAAAAAGTTAAAATCGATACCCAGGAACGGAAAGGATATAAGGAGTGCGAACTATATTGTTCTAACGACACTTCTGCCAGAAAATCCGATTCTCCTTTGTTTGTGTTCTTTTGGGGCAACATGACTCTATACCCTCTGATTCCAGGAAAACTTATAAAATAAATTTTAATCCCGCAGAAGCCCCATTGTTATTTGACAAAGCCAGAGAGAGAGCAAGGATAACGCTTTCTGTCTCGTTTCCTCAAATCTGAAGATCTGCTCCAGAAATGTATATCAATATTTTTACTCTCGGAACAATATTAAATTAGGAATACTTGAGATTCTGGGGCAGAATAACATTTTTCTACAAAGATGACTGATACCGTGAACAATGGAACAAGTTTTATTACCTTCGACATCAGTGCCAGCTCAAACATATCGAAACACACTACAGGGTGTTTCGTGTATAATCTATAAAAATTAAAAAGTTCTATCTTCGCTTTTTTTTGTAAATTAAAGTTCATTTATTCAACGAAAACGAAGGCCGACCCTGTGTTATTTATTAAAAACTTTGGAAATGCAACTTTATAATTTAAGTCGATATAATCTAATATTAGTATTACTAAAAGAAGGTTAGGTTACATTGTCAAAAAATTTGTGCAGTCAACTAATTTTGTAATTGTACTGAATTCATTATTCACTTAATTATTAAATATTAAGCATCGTCCATCGACTCATCACTGTTAAAAAGTGAAAGATTCAAGACAAAAGTATTTATTTTGTAATTCCACGATAGTGACAGTGTAATTTTTATAAAGAAGTAAAAAGTAAGAATAGCGTGCCGATTACATTAACAACGAGATTCTTATTTCTTACTTTACTTAATTTTTTAATTTGTGCACAAACTAGTTTTACAATGAACCGAGAAAACAATGCATTTACTGTTTCCGAAGGTGTCGATATGGTGTTAGTGTATGGTGCAACCGGAGAAAATGCGCTCGCGACGACTAGGTTGTACCGGGAACGATGGCCACAACGTCACCCCCCATGTGCAAATACAATCATACAGTGCGTTGTTGGAAAATCTTGACGAAGACCCCACAATTAGTACTCGACGACTCGCACAGCAAGTAGGAACCTCATCTCGAACCGTACAACGCATATTAAGGCGCCAGCTGTCCAGTTGCAACCAGTTCAACAGATTTTACCCCCGGATTGTGATCAACGAATGCGATTTTGCAGATGGTTCTTACGACAATGTGCCAATCAAGTAGACTTTCCTACTGATGCTTGTGTAACAGATGAGGCGACATTTACCCGCGATGAAGTAAATTTCAATAATATGCACATATAATAATAATAATAATAATAATAATAATAATAATAATATCTCTACTCCTCATTCTAACTACGAGAATTAGCCCAGAAGTCGGAGACTTGTGCGGGAGAGGAGGCGGCATATTATTATTACGCAGGCCGCATTTGCGCCCAGGAACGACTTATGTTGGTAGGCCCTAACCACCATTCAGTGCAGGAATGAGGGAAACCTGGAAAACCTCATTAATTAGGGGGGTGGTCAAATGCCAACCGGTGTCAATCTCTCACATTGACCCAAGCCAACATTCTTCCACCCTACCATACCTGCACAGAGGGTGCCAATCCTCCGTACAAGCATAGCTAATCAACGGTCTACCGGCCGCGGGATTCGAAACCCGGGCAGATCGACACATCGATTTAAATATTGACGCCTTAAACCGTGCGGCTATCGACCGAATGAAAATCCTCACGCGATTAGGGAAACTCATTTTCAACATCGGTTCTCGGTAAATGTTTGGTCTGTACTTGTGGGTCCCTATTTCTTTGAAGGACAACTAAACAGACCAACATATGCTGACTTTTTAGAGAACCGGTTGCCTAAATTATTAGACGATGTGGCATTACAAGTTCGGGCACGCATGTTTTATCTTCAAGATGGGACTCCTCCACACAGCACTCGAGAAGTAACGACACTTTTGAATGAAACGTTTCCTCACCGATGGATTGGACGCTTTGGTCCTGTGCCGTGGCCACCTCGGTCGCCCGATCTAACTCCAATGGACTTTTACCTTTGGAGTCACTTGAAGTCATTGGTTTACAATACTCCAGTTGCTACGGTGGAAGAATTGCGAAACCGTATACTTGAAGCTGCTGACTCAATTAGGGGAATACCTGGAATTTGGGAAAATATTCGCCAGAATTGGGTGCGTCGGTGCCCCTGTTTCCGCGCTAATGGGAATCAATTTCAACATTTTCATTTATTTCATTTTGTTCCATATTATTAGTTTTTTTAATATCTATTTTTCTTAATTTGTACTTTTGCATTGAAAAATTCCCCAAAAATTGAGAAGTATCTTTCTATCTTTTAACGACGATTTGTTTACGCGGCTGGTCTAGAGCACGTAACTCAGCGTACAGCACACGGACAGGACCGTTCCTGATAAAATATTTTGATCCATAATTGAACTTGAATTTACGAAAAAAACCGCAAAAATAGAACTTTTTCGTATAAAACTTTTCTTTAGGAAGCTGTAGTTTAATTTTTATAGATTATAGACGCCCCACCCTGTATACAGTGGAAAGACGGGTTAGATAATGTATTTCTGTGCACAAACTAGGCTTATATTCATTCCGCTCAAACACCGTTTTATTTAAAATTTATGAATTCTACATATATAGTATAAAATCACTGAATTCAACCCTGAAATTTATGGTACCGAATGAATAATAAATCACATTTGCAGCACCCTCGCTGAGGCCATCCAAGTATCATATCATGGAAGCAAGCTGGGAATTATAAATGGACAAACCGGAAGTTGGATGGTTAACGCGACTTGGGAATACTTCCAAATTTTTACCGGTTTAAACAACCCACAGGAATGTAAGTGTGATATTACATTGTTAGTTAATTAGATATAACTTACCCTCTCGCCGTACCTTTTCAAATATTTACCCGTTTCGCGATTTTTTTAACAACGGAAAACCAGGTTCTTTTACCGGCTTCGCGGCGCGGATATTTGATATTCGAAACTCCAGCGAAAATTTCATATTTAAATACAAGAACAACGCTGTGTGGCATATATTTTCTGACCTCAAAACCTACACTTTTCTATAAAAAAATCTCCTTATTTTCTTGGATTACTTACAATTAAAACTTCAGTTTAGCAAAACAAAGGCAGGAGCGATATAGTTGAGACCAGAATAGCGTTGGATCTACACTCTGGGGGCTTAGGCTGTAACATTCTAAACAGGAATTAGTAGTATGTTTGATGAAGAGGCGGTACGCAGATAAGCTCATCTCATTATCACGGTGCTATAAAGGTGTACCTGCTATAAAGGAATACTCAGAACCAGATCAAATCCTGCTAATGAGTAACCGTCGATATTTACTGGAAGTTTCAAAATTATACGCATTTTGTTAACTGTGAAAAAGAAAAAGGCAAGGGAGTTACTGTCCACTTAATCGAAAATTTAACAAGATAATATTTAATGTAAACTTTGAAATTGAGTTCAAAAGGTTGGGTCCATTCAGTTAAAACCGGAAGTATGATAAAGTGTGGTAGTTTAAAATATGAAATTTTACCTCTAACCGAGTATCCCAGAATTAGTTAACTTACTGCAAATATTTACGGGACAAAAGGGATGACCTTATTACCCTGTACGAATTTTGCTTCTCTTTTTCAATAATAAAACCTCACAAACAACGATGTATCCCATTTATTATGCATAAAACAGGCAGAAAAGAGAGATGAGGAACGAACTATATTATTCACTGAGGGGATTCGATATTTTCGGAATACATCACTTTTTACTTAATTTTACACAGCGCTCGAAAGAATGCGAATATATTTCCTCCTGCGCCTTCTCGATTGACAATAACTGGAAAATCGGAAAATTGGCTTATACCGAGTCATCGACCTCTTTGTTGTGATATTCCGAATAATTATATTGTTTTCAATATTAAACTCGCTTTATTCGCGAATCGCTTACAGTCTAGTTATTTCAGTCGCTTTTATCTAACAATAAAACAAAAGAGGGTTATAAAAGTTATAAAATCGGTGTGTTGCTACATTTTTATACAACCCCCAGATTGGAAACTATAGCGAAAAAAAATCAATTTTCAAAAACGTAAAGATTTCATCACAACCAATTATTTCTTTGATGAGAAGGTGTTACTTACTCATTCGCTTACCGTACGGCACAAATGCATCGGTAAGCGAAACAATAAACTAATAAAATGACATTTTAAAAGACTGTTTACCCGGCGTAGTAAAGGTTTTCGTGTATTGTGAATGCAGTTCACATTTCACTTAAACAACAACTGTACGCACGCATTTAGAAGCAGGTAATCAACAAACGTCACTTCTTTGCTATGTGAACTTCGATGAAGCCATTAAATAGGCAGTTAACGCCTTACCAAGAACTCCTTCCTCAAATACACACAATGGGAACAAGCCAATGTAGGCTATTTCCGTTGATGATGCTCCACAGAACAACGTAAATCTACTAAGCACGGTTTATAGCTAATTCTTTCTAGGGCCTGTAACCTTATCCTTGGGGAGAAGTCTGGAGACCGTAATAGCTTACTACCAGAACAAGACGAACCTAGACTGTTCCTACCAAACTATCCGACCTTTTGGCCAGTCGATCCTAGTCTTCGGTGATGGGAGATTGACTGATGGGGATCTGACTAGATCTAGAAGAGCTATAAATTCCATAAAAGGATCCTACCCAGAAACCAGTTTCATCTTCGTTACACCGAACGAGAACACTGGTTTCCAGGACCTCGCCAACGATAACGAAGACGACGTTGTGGTGTCTCTGGCAACTGACGTCTATTCCATGGTGGACCAACTCACTGACAGACTCAGCAAAGTACCTGCTAGCATTATCAAGTTTTATTGCAATCACGTCGACGTGCGGTTCGAGGATTATATCACTCCAGAGGTCGACACGCTGTACGAGATCCACCGGGAGTATATAAGAAGGGGACACGTCAGGACAAGGGTAAGGGAGGTTTTTGCTTTTCCACTATTAGAACAAGTAAAAATTTTGATTTTTTCCGCGCAATAATAAGTATTGTTGAGTTAAATATACGCATTGTAGGAACAAACAAAAATATATTTGTGTTTAATAAGTTATTTATTTCCCCAGAAGGATAACGGGTATACAGTAAAATCAAATTTCAAGCCGCGTTAATGCCAATTATTGTTATTATTGTTAGTAAAGTTAGTGTGTAATTTTATCCCCCTTGTGCCTGTCATCGGTAAAAGGATTGCCAGAGTTAATTGTCGTCACTAGCAGGGATTTACTTTTCTAATTGTGTTCCAGTTCATAAACAGCGACTATGGGGACCTCAGAATCTGCGCTCTCACGAGCAGAACAGCACCAGGCAACAGGGTATGCAAAGATGTAACTGTAAGCAGTGAGATCAGCTTTGCGTCTAAGGATTTCTGTGCGGCAGACTCGCTGTGCGATTTACAGTTTGCCGTAACAGCAAACAACTCTCAAATGAAATGCACAGGTAAAACTTCAACAAACTGATGTGTACAGGGCGTTATCTGTACAGATTCTTTTGCTTCTAGAATGAATAAAGTTCATTTCGTTCGTATGTACAGAAAACGCCTTGTATTTTGTGCCTAGATTATTTCTTTCGAGCTTTTCGTATAATGGTTACATTTCCAATAATGGGACCGCCTAGCCGGGTGTCTTGGCCGGTGGATTTCGATCTGCCGAGGCAAGCATCATGGACGCAAGCTGGAATTTGGATGGGTGACCTAAGGCAACATTTGCCGCATGCGTGTCGTCCCCGATAAATGGTAATGAGAACAGAGCAAAGAAAAATCTCTGTAACTCAAGACCATGCTATCCTACATAAAATGTACGAGACTTTACCACCAAGCCACCCGTGTAGTAAATAGGATGGTTTGAAGAAAAGTACTCGAGTAATGAAGGAGGGTGTACAAGGGGCCTAATAACGCCTAAGTGCCGCGGTGGAAAAAACAATTCCACACGTACATATTTACATACATACATCTCCAATAGAAGCAGGTCATTTAAACTAAATCCATATTACCATAAATTTCATAGACAATATCATTTTATTCCACGCAATTGCTTTATATCGAATTATATAAAACATTTACGAGTTCCGTTTTACCGCTTTTTGTTAGATGAAACGCTAAATTAGTTACAACGTAATCGTTTGAATGTATGCCTTTTGGCCATATTTCAACATCGACCTTAGGATGGAGGATTAAAACTGGAGTTAAAGGTGAACATGCAAATGGTATATTCCGAAATGCCTTCTCTTCCACATTTATTTCATCTGGACATAAAACGATAATCACAAAAAACGTTGAGAAGATGATAAAATCAATAAGATTCTATGAATTGATTATATTTTCCATATTCCAACTTCTCCAGACTCCTTTTGGCAGAAGTCTATAACATCTATTTCTTGGATCCCTTTCTTGTTCTGTTACAGAAAAAAAAATTATTGAGGTCAAAAGCTGTGATTAATTTTGTTGCAGTCATTTAACTCGCTCACAGAAGCTCTGTTGGGGTAAGATCTGGACGGACTGGCTGTATGTCAATTTCTGGTTCTGACTATAACGCATTAAAAAACGCTTATACCGAGGATTATAAATTCACTGTAATTCAACGATCGTCATATCATGAAAGGTCTTGATTGAGACTTATGCAAGATACTTCGAAAAAATTCCTATCCGATTTCTTGTGGTAGAAATGATAAAAAAACCGCTTGAATTCATTAGTGCGCAGCGCAGAGGTGTGGATAATTCAAGGGCGGTCACAAAGGGGGTTATGGGGGGGCCATGACCTGTCGTCAAACTTTATTTGTTAAATAGGTTTCATCTACCACAGTCCAGTGGAGTTTTTTATTACGAACAAATAAATAATTCTAAAATGTCGTTAACTGATGCATGATTGACATGAATTTTAATACTTAGCATCGCTTTCGCACGACGTAATTCAATTCTAGACATGTGTCATTCCAATTGATGTAATGTCATATCAAATGTCAAACTGTAGTAGAAACAGATAAAATGAAAAGAGTAGTTTGTCAGGTAAAAATGAATTCAAGATTAAAGACCCCTCTTTCTAATCGCAGAAGTGTGTGGGAGAGTGGGCGGCATATTAATATATACACGATTTCGACGGCATCTTGTCTTGAGCAGGTTCCAAACCAAAAACTAGAAGTGAGTTCAATAATAGACAGACAGTCAATGTCAACTACTTGATTGCAATTAGGCTCTTCATTATTTTCTGATGTATAGGAGAACTGAAAAAGATTTAAAAACTATTTTAACTGCACTACAACTTTATTTCTAAACAATATCAATTTCTACATCGTGAGTTTCAAATAAAAGAGATCGCCTGATAAAGTCGTGTTCGTGATTGCGGTGGTGTTTTTTTCAGGCATGTTATTACATGATTCTCTGAAAATCCAAGGGATTACCCTTCGGTACCCAATAATGCGGCTTTTTTAATGAAACTAGTATGCGGGGCAGCTAAATTGTTTTGCTTGAAATGTCGGTTTGATATATAGGAAATTATTTAACATGTGCTTCGGGATTTAACGAAAATTGGAGGGAAACATCCGATACCTCATAAATTTCTATTCCTCGTGAACGCTGAAAGTTTAAAATTATTGCTGCGGTAGGCCAAATTTGCGTGCATACTTTTGGAGTTAAATAATTCGCGTTAAATTAGAAAAAAACATGTACATGTAATGCCAATTTTATTACCCCTTAGATTTACGCGAACATATAATAACAGAGCTTTGAATAAAAGTCCTGAAAAATATAACTTTTCTTGTCAAAAACTTTTCCGCTGACACAATGCTGTAAAATTAGGTCAACTTACCAAGTTCCTGTTGTTTCCAATACCTTAAAAGTTTGTAAATCTTTAACCTGTAACACGGACATGAAAGGGTTAGCTTAAACAAATTGTCCTGAACAACTGCTAAAAACTTTGTTATAAATATCTTTACCTTTTCCTGTTTTGCTTCAACGCTAAAAAGTTTGGTATTTTCGTTCCTGGATAAACGCAATAATTAAAATAGCATAATGTCAATTACCGAAATATAGCAATAAAAGTAGATTTTAACGCCCATTTGAAATGAGAATTTCATTCTCCGCTAAGGTTTTTCAATCAGAGAAATGGTTCACAATGGAGTGGTGGTGTAATGAAAAACGTAATCCTTAATAAAGTAGAAGTTCTTACAGAGCTTTAAGATATTGGAAGGAACTCATTGTCTTGTCATTTTCTATACGCCATTGAAAAAGAAGACGTTACGTTTTTAAGCCGATGCAGAAACATTTGCTTTCTCAAACCAAAATTTCGTGTATCTAGAAAAAGATTAATCGTAAGATTATTTTATCAAAGTTTTGAACGTTTCGCAGCGGAGGAAATAAATCTTGTACCTTTTGACAATGTAGCAGCCAAACAACTTCAGCAAACCTGTTTTTTGCCGATATGTAGATCTAAATATAACATGGCGAATAAAAAAAAAACGAAATTAATGAAGGATAACTAAATGAGAATTAATTTACAAGGTATATAGAAATACCGTTTTAATTAAATTCTAATGAAGTCGATAAAAAATTCTCAATTAATATTTGTAAATTTCTGACAGCCAATATTTTTGTTATCGCTGCATTTTAATATTCAGTATTTTTTGTGGTGCAAACTGCAAAAGACAGATACGAATTTCTTTGTGTTTCTATTTCCTTTAAATTTCAGGATTATGTCGAATCTAAAGTTAATGTTTATTAGTCCGACAATTATTTTAACCGTTATATTATTTAAATTTCTATTAAGTACGGCTTAATACGCGAAGGCCAAAAGCCCGCTAAATTTAGTTCCAAATGTCGCCACCGTCCATTTTTTAAGGTTAGGTACATTTTTAAAAAATTAAGTTTTAAAAATTCCCTTTCGTAGATTGTTCCCTTTAAGAGAATTTACTTTAGGAATATTCCATCTGCATGAAAGGTAAAATAAAATAAATAAATTCTGATTAAAAACTACCTGTGGAATGACAACAGTTTAATCCAACAAAATATTTGTATTAGGAAATTTAATGAGTATTGATCACAATATGGCAATGTCGGTGTGAAATCTATAAATATTAATGATAATTCAGCCTGCATACGTAAGACATAACTGTTTCAATTTACTCGACCATATGGTCAGGATGGAAATTTCTTAAAAATATCGAGATATGTAAGAGGAGAGGAAGAAGAAGAAGGACTGAAGGCATCACTTCTCTGATAACTGGAAATTTACGTTAACGATGCCCAAAAAATAGTTTTCCGTCTCGCTATCTTAGATAAAAATAATTTTTTCCGAACATATCTAAAATTAAAGTTCACGTTACCAATTAGCAAGTTATTAATGGGATAAAGATCTGCATTTAAAGGGGAATGATCTAAAAATTCTGTATAAATATAACAAGTAAGTGTTAATTAAATTATGTTTAACTCTGGTATTTTTTTTAGAATATGACTGCAGATACCCGGACCAGATACGGTTGGACATAAGATACACCTATACAGCATCCGGAACTGCCGCAATTCCTAGTATTTTATTAGTAGTCGTAGTTAATTTATTTTTTACCGTTTGTTAATGATTTATACAGAACGTCGTTAATATAATTTACATTTTCGTTGCGTATTCGTTCCACAGCTAAGCATACGAATGACGCACAAGTTTTTAGAAATTTGTTAGAATTACCTATGGAGATGAGATCTGGTCCATTAAATCAATATGTCGCAGAATGGAAACTGGTTTTAACTCCGGTAACCTAGCTTTATGACGTCTGAAATACTCATACAGCTAGATAACCAAAGAAAATATCAGTTCCATTGTCGTATCGGAAACACATGGGCATATGCTGAACCCGCACAAGTGGAACCACGTGAGCGCACGCCGGCACAGAACGCACAAACAGGTCGGAAAAAATTCAGGTTGAAACTTTATCTTCAGTCGCACATGAAGAACTGAGCAAGGACTAAGCGATGGCTGCTTACCAACTGGGACGTTGCTTTCCCCATGCCATCGGTAGAGCTCGAAGTTAATCGTTAGGAAAACCAGTTTCAAGAGCCAAGCCTCAGCCTGGCCTGTATGTCACTATGTTGCCAAACTTTCTAGTCTCAAGGCAATATTTGGAAACGAGCGATCACGATCGTATTTTCTTAATCAAGCGTCTTCACTTGCTCACCGCTGGGGCTAAACTAATCTCTGCAAGGTACCTCATTCTATTCTTCCTACCCCTCTTATTGACACCCGCCCATGACGTCACGGTACTACCTGCACCACCTTGACCGTAAAAAAAATCCGATTATCCCGCTTTGTGGCTTTCGGACCAGCTAATGGGATAGGGTTATTTCTCAACCGCAAGTGCGGTGGTTATTGTCCACCGGAGTCCTACAATAACAAGGAAACGCGGACGACATTTTGACCATTAGACCAGGCGAAATCTGTTTTGGAAAAAATTGGAAAAAAATTTAATTTTTTCTCCCTTTTTTCAACACAGTTCAAAAACTATTCATTTTAGAGAAAAATTGAAGAGGAAAAAAAGATTCGTAACTAAATTTTACACAAGAAATGGACTACCGCCAATCTTAGGATTTTTCCCTAAATGATTAGTAATTAACAATTTTATCATTATTTCAAAAAAATTTTTATTACAATTTTTAATTTAATAAACTATTTAAAATTTATATAAATAATAACTAAACAAAATCAATTATAATGCTTTTTTCTAATTGTAAGATAATTTGATTTTAAAAATTTATTTATACAGGGTGCCCCGAAATTCATGCAACAAAATTTGATCACAGAATCTTAAGGGGGACCCGTATTTTTTATTTTTCCTCTTTCGGAGTTGCAGCCCCCTGAAGTCCGCCCCTAAAAATAATCTTTTTTTATATCTCAGAACTTTGTTGTACGAGAATCACTAAATTTGGTACACAGAGGTTCTATGACATGTGGAATTTGATGGTGCTACTTAAGACAATTTTTCGTGGGCCCCCTTGTCTTTGGAGCCAAAAAAAATTGGTTTTATATTTAAATTTCTTAAAAATTATCTGTCCACTAGGAAGCCATTAAATTTAGAAACTTTTTGTCCCTTTATACTTTTTTCGTAAAACGCAATGTTTTCGAGAAAAATGTCAAAATGTGATCGAATGCATATCGTGATTCGCCATTTTCCTCAAAAACATTGCGTTTTACGAAACAAATATCAATAGACAAAAAAGTTTCTAAATTCAATGGCTTTCTAGATAACTAATATTTTTTTTTAAAATAAAATTGGCGACCAAATTTTTCTGGTTCCAAAGACAAGGGGGCCCACGAAAAAGTGTCTTAAGGGGGTTTCTCGCCAAAAAGCGTAGCACTGTGAGACTCCACATGTCATAAAACCCCTGTGTACCAAATTTAGTGATTCTCGTACAACATGGTTTTGAGATATAAAAAGGACTTCTTAGGGGCAAAATACGGGTCCCCTAAATTTGTTTGTAAAGAATCTATGACCAAATTTTGGTACATGAATTTCGGGGCATCCTGTATAATTATTGTTTGAAAAAATTTGAATGTTTAAACAGATTGAATACAATGTAAGGATAAAAACTATATAAATTTGACTAATATTCATTAATAGAATAAAGAAAAATACGAGAAATGTAAAGCAAATTAAAAAGTAGTAATTATCAATACGTTAATAGGTCGATAATTAACAGTAATTCGCATTTGAAAATGCGATATTTGGACTTTTCAGCTCATGAGACATTGATTTAAAAAAAAAACATCAAAATTAGACCACTAGAAGCCGAGATAATCTAGACCGGAGTACCCGAGCTCTCGACACCACCACTCCTAATTAACGGATTTCAATTTTTCTGGACGCATTTTAAAGTTTGAGTGCCCTTTTTTATGTGATAAAATTTTCAAGTATCTAGAAGTCTTAATTTAGGCTCAGTTAAATTTGCAAAAATTTCAATTTTTTTTCAAAAATCTGGATTTCAAAATTATTACTCGAAAACTATCGGACCGATTTTAACGAAAATTGGTGTGATGTTTTATTACATCAAAAAGATTTGTTTGGCCAAGTATGAAGATCCTACCTATAATATAAGTACTTTTAAAAAAATCGCAAAGTATTGTAATTTTGTTCACTTATTTTTGTTGTTTTTGCTATATTTGCAATAATTACGTTGTATTTTCTATTTGAAAAAAAATTAATTACGAATCTTTTTTTCCTCTTCAATTTTTCTCTAAAATTAATAGTTGTTGAGCTGTATTGAAAAAAGACAAAAAAAATGGAATTTTTTTACTATTTATTTAATAATAAGTTTAACACACGTTTTGAAGCGCCCATAGTGAAGTTATGTTTTGTTATATCGTTTTCTTGTAATTTAAACAGATCACAAATCATAGATTGTCTGCCACAATCTTGCTAATAAATTTAGCTTGATATACCTAGTAACTATTTTTTTCAAAAGAAAAGCGAACAATCTTTTGCCCATCCACTTTTTTTCAAAATATTGTATAACTAACTTTATTATATCACAAGTGTGTAAAATAAATCTGACTATACGCCACAACCATTTTTTTCAAAACATATTGATCTAATTAAGATCTCAAGCTCCAATAGGTGATCGTTCCTCTTATTTCAACCACATTTCCTTTGTTACTTCCTACCCTTACAAAAAATAAATAGGGAAAATGAACTACATTGCTTTAAAATCCAGATCCAATATAGTTTTTCAAAATTCAAGTGATTAATTGTAACGAATAACAAGAACATTAGGACTTTTTGTCAACTTTCCATTAGACCTTCATAAAAATGGAATACAGATCCCCTTACAGGCATTGTAGGGTGAGAGGGACCGGAGATCAAAAGGCCTGGACATATACTTCATAAATTATAATTTTTCCTTTGCCTACCTGCCTCGGAGTGCCGTGACAGGTGACGTAAATCAAGTATCTTTAAAAAAAAAAGCACCGGTGGAAAGGACTTATTAAATATGTGTTCTGTACACATGTCGTACTTGTAAAGAAGTCATAAAATTAATTCTGAATTTAACACGGTTGTTAGACCATAATTTTTAACTGGATTGCCTCGAAAAAAAGCGGGAACTTAGAAGCAATTTATTTTCACATGATGATGGAATGCGACGTGATTTTCAACGCATAATGCAACAATAAAAGCGGCAAAGTCCACGATTTTTTCGACAGTTATGCAAAACTCCCCAAGCCACAACCTCCTAACGCAGAAAAGCAATTTGGCAAGTTTTATTGCAAAAGTTTCATTACTACAGTACGTAGTAATACTACCGAGTTTATTTTAATTGCCAAGAACTGATCCAGACAAGTTAAATGGCTGGGGGCTACGATATTAAAAAAATATTATCCTAATTGCTTTAATATAGCTTGCAGACACCGGCGCCTTGGTCTTTTTAACACAATTACATAATAAGAGTTGATTTACAAGTAAATGTACCCAAACATAACACGTGATGTTGCCTTTTAAGACACTATTTTTTATACTGATAATTTGCTCGAAACGTGATACCATATGCATAATCAAAAGAAATTATACAACAAAAAGGGTTTTCGACAACAAAAAATTTTTTACCACACTTTCGAAACTATAAATGTGATCGCACGTGCGTAATTTGGAAGAAAATGATACGACAGCTTTGTACCCTTAAAACTGAGTCACCTTGGGATCCTAAACTCCGCTTAATTAATACAGGTTAGCGTAGTTTAATATAAATTTTAGTGCTAAGATCCCGCAAATGAAACGGAGAAACCGTGTATCATCGGATCGAACGTTACCCACCGATATTAACATAACCGGTTGAGCCAGTCGGAGTCCACTCAAGTTTCATTCCTTTACGACCTCGCAGCCTCCCGCGCTCCAGCCAGTGGCGCCCAGAGGGGTTAAGGGGGTTCCCTCCTCAAACGACGTACGTAACCACCGGGTCAAATTTACTAAACTTTCGAATATACTTCTTGTGGAAGAAAAAGAAGAATTCAGCTAAAAGAGATTGGAAGCTAGTTGTGACAATTTTAATGAAGAGCGATAATATTTATTTGTTTACAAAAACACACAATTTTAACAGAAAATGTAGTAATAAATCACGATCATACTGAGACATACACTTAAATGTCAGAAAATTTATTAAACAAATAAAGAGAAGATGAAGATGCCGTGTATTTGTTCAAGGAATATGAAGATTAATCATTTTTAACAAGTCCTAGAATTTTATAACATTTTTTAGTTTTTGAAGAAAAATATTGCATTATGAACATAAAAAGATTATTGTAAAAAAAACCTTAACGGGTAACTCAAGCTTAGATTTGATAAATGTAGAAAACAACAAGTTCAGGGTGTTCAATTTTCATCGATAACGATAAAACTTAGGTTATGTTTATCAAAAGAAAGTTTATAATCGAAAAATAACCAGGTAAGGTCGATGTGGGATAAGCCTTTATTTTATTTAAACTAAAAATATTACGCTTGATATTGCACCAAGAGTTTATTACATTTAAATTTCGTTGTAGAATATGTGCGCCGAGTTCATTATTTTTAGGACAAAATATTTTCATAATTCAGTATTCAGAGACATGGTCATTAATGAAAACTATAAACATTAAAGGTCCAAGGACGGAACCCTGCGGAACCTCTTAATCTGGGCGATTTTGGCAGACGTG